TTTATATGGCCACCCATCTTACCACAGTGGGTGGCTAACCACTTTTTGCTGCTGTTCAGCCATTCAGTTGTTTCTGACTTTATGAGATATGATGGACATCATTTTATCCAGATGATTGTCCAGGAATTACCTGAGCCCTAGAAAGCCCAGGCTGGTGCCATTTGTGATAGTATCAAGTGACCTTGCCTTCTCTTGGCCCCCTTTTTTAAAATGACCTTCAATTGCATTTGATTTTTCCAAACATCAAGGTCTCCTCTAGTGACCCTTGCCTTCACATGATGTCTCCAAACTAAGTAAGCTGTAGCTTCACATTAGTACTTCCAGTGAGAAACCTGATCTTACTTCATCCGGTATTGAATAGTTTGTTCTTGTGGTCCAAATATTATCAATAATTTTCCTTCATTCAGCCTTTTGGTGGATGGGCTTTCATGGTCATATGAGAATGTGATTTTTCCATCCTTTTGTGTTTTGTCCAGATTTGTCTTAGCCTTTCTCCTAACTAATATTTCAGAGCTACAATCACTGTCCCTGTGAATGATTGAGCCACTCTTGAAAGATAAAATCTGCCACTATCTCAACTTCTCTATTTGCAATGGGTTGGTGTTGCCTGTTGGCATAACTTTAGTTGTTTTTGAAGGTTTCTGAAAGGCAGAAAGGACACAAAATGACCTTTACTCTGTATATGTTTGCAATTGTGTTCCATTTAATAAAATCTCTCTACTCCCCCCCCCCGCCCGCCACCTCCATTGCCGTGCTGTGAATCTGAGCCAAATCTATTGCCTTGTTTGGCCAAACCATTTGAATGGGCGGGAATTATGGCTAGTAACAGACAGTAAAAACAAACATTTATTGTACTTTGGACCATTTAAACTTTTCTTTAAAATTCAAAGCAATACTCATTCAGATGCCATTATAAAGTAAGAATTTGGTTGTTTTGGGGATTTTGCAGTCCACTGGACAATCCTGTTTCATAATTTGTTTTGAAAATCATGGAAGAACTTTTGTTTCATAGTGACTGCATAGTTGAAAAGGAACATTGGCACAGCATAAATTACCAAAAAAAACCCATCAATTTTGCAAGACACAATGCTGGACCTGTGAGGATCTCAAGGATGGGCCACCTTGTCATTCACAAGAACTTTTTCTCACCCCACCTCTCACAACCTGAATTTTGAGTTCATTAGTAGATTTCATGGTTGATGTTATCAGAACCCTGATTTTAGCAATTGTGGCCTGTTGTTCTAGTTCCACTTGTACACACCATTTGGAGGAGATGATCCAAATCACTATTCCTTTCTTTCAGATTTGGAGGAAAAGAGCAGAAGATTCCTCCTTCTCCAAAATTAAAACTCCTGAGGGTTGGCTGACAAAATAGATGGCATAATCCTAGCTCACCAACTGAAACTCCAGGGAATGTTATTGTTCTGTTGTCTGGGGTTTCCTTCCTTTCCCCTTCCACAACTCCCCAGCAGGCTATCCGTCTGTATCCATTCTACCTACAAGCATTGATGGTGTTACCTAGTTTGGTAATGAAATGTCTGCAAGAAAACCACCAAGCTAAGAGAGTACCAAGGACTCCATAGATCAACCTACCATTTATCTCTATATTTCAGAAGCCATTGCCTGCACTTCTGATGACAGGGTGACAAATGAGGGTGTATGAGAGTAAGATTCCTTCCAGCCTCAACTTATTGCATTATTTCAGATCCCTCCCTTAATCCAGGGATGAACATATCAAGGAAATGTCCAAAGAAATATTGCAACATTTTTTGTGAAACCCCCCCCCCCCCCGATAACTGTATTCTTCATGCATATAAGGCTACTCCTAAGCCGATTGGGATTCCACTTGCAGTTATTCCTAGTATAGTTGCTACATCATAGGACGATGTTTCTCAACCTTGGCAACTTTCAGATGTGTGGATTTCAACTTCATGCTAGCTGGGGAATTCTGGAAATTGAAATCCACACATCTTAAAGTTGCCAGGGCTGAGAGACACTGCCATAGGATTTCATCTCAAATTCTTCAATGACACAAAAGAAAAAAAGGAGTTACTAGCCTTGTTGATTCAACACAGACTTAAGCAAAGTGTCTCTTTGAAATTGTTTCATAGAACAAAACCCACTCAATCATAAAAAGGAAGTGAAATGTCTATCTTCTTTTTCTTCATCTCTCTATTGAGTTTTTACTAGGAGTTCATCACAGGAAGACATTTCTGTATTCCATCATGCTCTTTCAATGATGACACTTAGCTATTAGAACTCCTTATGGATAGCTCCTTCAAGGTTTTATGACACACTTCCTTGAAGTGACCTCCATTACCCATGTCATACAAAACATCTCACCAGGGCAAAGCTAAGCCATTTTACTCAGTCCTAGGAATCCTTAATTAGAGCTGAGATGCTTATATCAGATTGGCCTTGGAAATCTACTAGCATCAGGATCTGTGCAGGATCTGTTGCTTTCATCAAAACAACGAAAGATGGAATATACCTACTGGAATTATGGTGACTTTTGATAATAAATGTTATAGACTGGATACACCTCAAAAAGCCAAGGATTTTTATTTACTAATTTTAAAGGCTGAAAAAGCATCACCATCGCAATCTGGAGAAACGGGAGGATTATCAAAAACGTTGGAAGCATTATCGGTACAAGGGAAGGCACAGACTCAACAAT